GACTGTTGCCGACCTAGATTGCCCCTCCGTCTCCTTCTGGTCAGGTAGCACCACCCAAACACCCGCTTCGATCGTTGTTGCTCTCCCTTTGAACCACGACAGCCGGCAACGAGAGAAAGGAGATTGAGATCCGAAGTAAGGGTTTCTCGATGGCTAGGGTTTCTTGGCGGCTAGGGTTTTCAAATGGGCCATCCTCTATCTCCTCTGCTCCGACGACATCTTCAACTCTGCAAATCCTACATGGAAGAACACGATAACAAACCCGACTCAGTCTGATCCTCTTTCTAATTCAGTTCTTAACCGGTCTCCCCCTTTCTCAGATCTACATACACTCCAAATGTGACTGGACGAAGGATATGAAGGTGAAGGCGGAGAAACCCTTTCTCTTTACGGAGGTTTGTTAATGGTGGCGGCGACTTCCTTTCCCTAGATTTTCAGCTTTGTTGTGGCGTTTGTATGTGTGTGTTTAATATCGTTGGTCTATTTCGAGTTTGTGAGTGTGTCAAATCAACCCCAGATGTCTCAGGTTTGTAGCAATGCCGGATCTGGAATCTATGGCTCTATCGTCCTCCCTAGCTTTTTAGATTTGTTATGGTGATGGTTTTTGCCAAAATATCGATGTTGGTGGTGGTGTTGAACTAGTGGCGATGGTTGATGATGGTTGTTAGAAAATACAGCTGGTGTTGGTGGTTACCGGAAAATCCGGCTGTTGTTGGTGGTTGCCGGAAAATCCCCTGCTCTTTAAACACATCCGATGGAGGTGGTAGAAGGGGAAGAGGAGAGAGAGAGAGAGGGAGAGAGAGAGAGAGAGAGAGAGAGAAAGCATTTTTTTCTTTTTATTTTTATTTTTATAACAAAAAAATTGAAAAAACAAAATACAAAGGGCAAAATCGTCAATTAAAACAAAAATGGACCAAACTCGTAGCAAAATGTCGGTTTTACCCTTCGTCAGATTTTTGGTTCATTTATACCGCAAACTTGTCATTTTTTTGTCGATTTTGCCCTTGTTACCTGCAATAGCAGATTTCCAGGTTATTATGAATTATTTTTTACGAAAAAACCCTTAAGTTTACAAATATTTTGCAAAAAAAACCCTTAAGATTATAAGCATATAAAATATAAATATATATTGAAAATTTTATAAAACTAAATAGTTTTCTACTGAAACATATTTTTAGCTTTATGTACGGTAAATTTTATATTTGTTTGATATAAAGTTTTTATATTTAAATTTTAAAAAAGTTACCTAGTTTTATCAAAATTTAAATATTTATTAATTAATACTTAAACTTTTCAAAGTAACATTAAAAAACGTCTGTTAGCTAATAATAATATAACACTAGTGACATTCAATTAATTTTTTTTAAAAGAAAAATAAAAATATTTTATATGTTTAAAAGGTTTGAATTTCAGAAATAACAAACTATCATATTTTATATAAAAATAAATATATTTATATAATAAATTAGACAAATATATTTATATTTTATATGTTTAAAATATTTATATTTATTTTTGATGTTTAACAGGTTTATGATATTTTTATAAAAAAATATGATAATATTATTATGTATTTAAACATATAAAAAATACGATATGTTAGTATTTCTGAAATACAAACCTTTTAAACATATAAAATATTATTTTATTTACCTTTTAAAAAAATTAATTGAATGTAAATGATACCATATTATTCATAACAACTATTTTAGCATAATTACTTATTAACTAACAAATGTTTTTTAATTTTGTTTTGAAAAGTTGAAGTATTAATTAAGAAATATATTCAAATTTTGTTAAAACTAGGTAAGTTTTTTAAAATTTAAATATAAAAAGTTTATATCAAACAAATATAAAAGTTACCGTATGTAAAGTTAAAAATATATTTCAGTAGACACAATTTAGTTTTATAAAATTTTGAATATATATTTATATTTTATATGTTTATAATCTTAAGGGTTTTTTTGCAAAATATTTGTAAACTTAAGGGTTTTTTTGCAAAAAAATAATTCATAATAACCTGGAAACCTGCTATTGCAGGTAACAAGGGCAAAACCAACAAAAAAATGATAAATTTGCGCTATAAACAAACCAAAAATCTGTCGAAGGGTAAAACCGACATTTTCTGCCAAACTTAAGACTTTTTATGACATTATCCCTACATAAAAAATAAAACATAAAAATACATAAAACAATGTGTAAAATGCTTAAAAATATAAATTAATACATAAAAAAAATATTTATACATTTAAAATACATAAAAATACGTAAACATATACATATAAAAAACTTAAAAAATACAAAAGTATGTAAAAATAGATATAAATACATAAAAAATACATTTATACATTATATATAAGTTTTGAGAAAATCTGCAGAAAATTCTCATTATTTTCGAAAAATTAACGATTTGGTCATAGGACCTACTGAACAGGTAAAAATGGGCTAAATGAATAAATTAACCGGTTTCTTGGGCTTTTATGTTGAAAAAGTTAAAAAATCAGGACTTTTCTATTCAAAAAATAAAATTTAAGACTTTATTCTAAAAAAATTCAAAATATTAAAACTTTTCTGTAGATTTCCCTTTTGCAAAACCTAAGTTGTGGATTCAAATCTTATTGAAATCATTTTTTTAAATCATGGAAGGTGAGAACTAAAAAAATAATATTATTTTATTATCTTTGTTTGTTTTGAACCTATGAATTAATAAATAAAAACTTTACAATTTTAACAATTTGTACTGACTATTGTTTTCAAAAATATTAGAGGTTGTCTCTTGTTACGTTGTGAAGCACAAGCGTAACATTTGGTCTTTCGTCAACGTTTTAAATACTGTGTTGAACCAGCCTATCGAACCGGTTGGATTGTGAACCGGGGAAGGAGGCGGTTCAACTATCAGCGGTTTTACGTTGATTTCTGAATCGGATTGAACAGATCAATTTTAGAAAAACTCGGTTGAACTGGTTTTACTTTGTTTTTGTGTGTGTGTGTGTGTGTGTGTGTATATATATATATATATATTAAATTCAAACAAGAACATCATTTAATGTGAGAACGTGAGAACACTACTTTATGTTACTATTCTACTATAAATTTTGTATATAGAACGATATGGCATTATTCATGAACAAATATACGAACAATCACACATTAAAAATTTGTATGTACAACTTTATGACATTATTCATCACCGAATATATGAACAATCACATATTTAATATTCACATTAAAATTTACTAAATTACTATATATATATATATATATATATATATATATATATATATATATATATATATATATATATATATATATATATATATATATATATTATAATAGAATAACAATATAAAATTGAAATATATTCATATTATAATTACAGAATACTATACATATTAAATTCATAGTAAAATAGTAACATAAAGTAGTGTTCTCATGTTCTCATATTAAATAGTGTTCTCATTTGAACTTAATCTACATATATATATATATATATATATATATATATATATATATATATATATATATATATATATATAAACACTAAAACATATGGTTATATGTTGTTTTAGTGTATTTGGAGTGATCTACAACTTATTTTTATGTATATTTTTAATGTTTGAACTTGTAAACGGGAAATTCATTATTTATATATGTATGTATGTATAAGAAAATAAGAAAAAATTTGAAAGTTATAGAAATCGGTTGACCTGGCGGTCAAACCGGCTGAACGGGGAACCAGTCACTATATCGGTTCAACTAAAAAACAAGTTTTAAAATATTGTGTTTCGCAAGTGTTTGTATTTTAGAAAACTTGACTCAAAAAATGTTACATGTATGCTGAATTGTTTAACACGAACCCTCCTCTTCAAACCACTTCACACGTTACTTTAAGTTATATTATTCAATATAGATTAATTTTAATTTTTTCCAACAACATTTTTATTATTTTAATAATATTATAAAGGATATATACAATTTGAATATATTTTATATAATTTCAAAACCATTTGGTAAAAATTTCGTAGAAATATTTTTTTTGTTTTACTTTGTCTATAACAAAATATTAGTAAATTATAAAGTTAATCACTAAAATTACTAAATTTATTGAATCTAACCGGAAAAATAATCATCATCTTCGAAAATTTAACAAAATGAACATGTTATTCGTTAAATTAACAATTTTATTTATTGTTATTTAGTAGATTTTTTGTTTAATTATTTTATATAAAGTCTTTAAAAATCATATCATCAAAATGATATTTATATTCAATTTTCATATAATTAAACTTATAAAATTTTGATTTAGATTTATTTTTAACTATTTTATTGTTAATTGTAGTTTATTGCAGCAGTCCACAGACGTTAAAAAAACAAACAAACTTCTTATTACATGTTGTAACCGTTTGGTCTAAGGATGATCATATAGACCGGGGAACTAGTCGGAACCGGTATCGGAACTGCAACCCGGTGAAACCGGTTGGGCCGGGACCGTGACGATATTCTTGTGAACTTTTGGAACGGGGAACCGGAACCGTTAGAACCGACAAAAACCGGAACCGTATGTTGCTATTTTTCTAAGATCGGTTCCAACAAATGAAGACACGACAAGAACCGGTAGAACCGACGGTCCGGTTCGGTTCCTATTTTCCATCGAGTTCGGTTCCCGAGTCGGTTCCGGTTCGGGCCGGTTCCAGCTGGATCGGTTCCTTTGCTCATCCCTAGTTTGGTCCATCTATTCTGCTGCAGAATGTTACAGATGGGGTCCCCAAACTTCAGTCATTTTCGTTTCGAAAAAGCAAATAACACATTAGTGTTAAGCCAAATTTAAAAACTTTCAACCCCGAAAAAAAATGTATAATCCTCAAAAAATTACTTCAAAATTTTAAAATAAGTGTCTAATTTTGTAATATTTGCAATTTGTTGGGGGTATTTTGTAAACTAAAACCAAATTAGCTGCAGGTACAAAAGATAGGAATTGGCATTTGATATCCACCTCAACCCTCCGTGTTTTCGAACAAGATAAGAAAAAAGCTCTGATAACAATGGCGCTACTAACGGCGTCGTCTGGACTGGCGACAGGACACGCTTCCATTTCATGCTTCGTCAAGCCTCAATCGGCGTCAATAAGATTGAAGCCCAACTCCCCGGCGGTTTCGGAGCTAGGGTTTGTTACTTCTCAACTGAGTGGCCTCAAAATTTCTTACGAACAATGCACTTTACCCAATAACCTCTCTTCCACAATCAAGCTTCCTCTTCAACCTGTTGCTCGTAATCTCTCTCTCTCTCTTTCTCTCTCTCTCTCTCTCTCTCTCTCTCTCTCTCTCTCTCTCTCTCAATTTCCCTTTTTGGATCTTGATTATACCCGATTTCTATGAGTATGCCAAAAGGATATAAATTCAGGTGGTTGTGTTCTTTTTGTTTAATTACGTTTCTCTATTCCATTCGATAAGAAATTCAGCAATCGCAATTGGTTTATTTGAATATGCTCTTATGATAGACTGTTTTATGTGTATTATAGCTATAATTGATCATCTACTTTCACCACGTTATGTTTCTTTGTTGATTTTTTTAAGAAATGGGAAATTTTCAGGTAGAATCTGCCCTTTTACTGGAAAGAAATCAAACAGGAAAAACCTTGTATCTCACTCAAACCACAAGACAAAGAAATTGCAATTTGTTAACCTTCAATACAAGAGAGTATGGTGGGAAGCTGGAAATCGATTTGTGAAATTGCGTCTATCAACCAAGGCATTAAAGACAATCGAAAAAAATGGTCTTGATGCTGTTGCTAAGAAAGCAGGAATAGATCTTAGCAAAAAATAGTTTCATTCCTTCGCACAATGTTGTTATATTTCTGTTAAAACTGTCGCTTAAAATTTCCTCTTTTCAATGGAATCATGTTTCAAGTCTCCTAACATGTTATTGTGATTTACATCTCACTTGTTTTCATAAAATGTTGTCTTAATTTATGAAGAATTCGAAATAGATTAATCATGGACATGATGTTATACATATATAGAAATTACAATTACAAAAGTACAATAGATATTGTCATACAATTACACAATGGTGGAATAACTTTTTTTTTTTGTATATGTATAATATTATAAAACTAAACGACTATTTTCCCCAAAAGCAAATCGTTTTGTAACAAAAAGGTGAAATATTTTAATTCATCTAAAGGGTTCAATAGGTTCGGATTCTTGAAGCATAATTGCAGCCTCAAAACATTCAGCAGCTTCAAGAGACGATGAACCATGTTCAACCTTGTAAACAAGACCAAGATTAAACCATGCTAATGAATTTGTTCTATCAAGCCTTAATGCATCGGTTATAAAGCTTTTGGCAATTGGTAATGATCGATCGTTAAGTTCTCTTAGAACAATGGCTGTTGATATTAAGCTAGGAACATGATTTGGATCAATGTCTAATGCTTTCTCAAAAGAGCTTAATGCTTCTTCCTTTTCGCCTTTTGCTTGATGGAGTATCCCTAGAAAGTTGAAAACATGTTTTAGTAAATTGATGTTTATAGTTTTTTCGACTGAATGTGAGTAAATGACTATCTTACCTTTCTGTTTAGAAGTGATTACTAGTTATACGAATGCGATAATATTTAATCACAACATGATTAGTAAATAGTAATCAAAACTAGGGTTTTACCTATGGCATGCCACCTAGATGCAGAATGAGGATCGATGGTCTTGGATTTTGATAGGCACACCTCAGCATCATGCCATTGCAACAAACTAGTGTATAAGTTTGCTAGATCATGCCATGTTTCCATTTCCAATTCTCTTTCTTTGTTGCTCCTTTTCTACAAAATCAAACAAAAATGGTTAAAAGTTGGAAAAAAAAAACTTAATAAAAGTAAAATCTTCCATTCTTGATTTACGGGTTGTTTGTTTTTTTTTTCTCTCGTAAAGTGGTTGAATGGGTAATGATGTATGACTAGATAAAATGTTGTATACACAAAGTTTGTTTCGTTTTAAGACTGAATAAACTGTTTGAATGAGACTAAGTAATCATTTTACCTCACATTCCGAAAAACTTTACAATATTCATTTAGAGGAGTTGAGAGGAAAAAGATGGACAAATAGGTAAAGGATTAGAGTGCGTTTGGTCATGGAAAACTGTTTTCATTTTTCTAAAAAACCTTTTTCATAAAATAGAATTTGAGTTTTCATTTTTAGTTTTCAATGAAAATTTTAGAAAACACGGTTGATTGAAACCGTGGAGTTCTCATTTTCCGTTTAAGAAATTCAAAAAACTTTGGAAAACGTAAAAACCACGTTTCTAATTTACATACAATTTGGAAAACAAAAAATTTTCATTTTCTTGGAAAAATTTTGAAAACTGAATCAACCAAACACGTTTCAAAATTTTCATAGAAAATTGATATCGATGTTTTTGGCTTAACCCATTAAGTCATTCTGTCTAGATTAAGTAAAAAACAAAACAACTATATATAACTATCTAGATTAAGTGTTTAATAACTACCTTTAATAATCTTTTATGAACCCCAAAACTTTTGCTTCTAACTTGAAGAACAGCAAGAAGACGAGTATACGTCTCTATACCATTTTTCAACTTGCCTTGTGCAATTTGCAATTTCGCTTTAGTTCTCAACAATTCTCCTTGATCCCATTTCCCTGTTTCATCTATAGCAGCATCAATGACAACTTCAGCATCAAAATATTGTTTTTTAGCCGATAAAATACGCGCTAAAAGAATCCATCCTTTTACATTATCTCCCCCTTCAACTTTCACAAGCTTCTTTGCATAATAAGCAGCCATATCCAACTTCCTCTGTTCTGCATATTCAAGGCTAAGATGAAACAAAACATTGGCATCTTCTTGTTTCATTTTATGTGCAGTTTCCAAAGCGTTTAAAGCTTCAGATTGCATTTTTATCCTTTCAGAATCCAAATTCGTGTTTCTTGATTGTGCAGAAAGGGAGACACCAAGGAAAAAATTAGCGACGCTTTTTGTTTCGTTGCAATTTTCTTCCGATTTCATGAGTTTGTGAAGGTATGTGATTCCTTCTTGAAGGGAATCGGATTGATGAATACAGATTTTGGAAGCGAGTAACATTTCTAAAACGAAGTTATGTTGGTTTTCTGACTTTTCTTGATTATTTAACAAACTTCTTAATAGATTTAGCGACACCATATCTTCATCTTCTCCATAGTAACATAACGCGAGAGTGCTGTATCTTTCCTTTTTTTCAATGATTCCAGGTGGGAATTCTTCAATTTGATGAGCGAGTGATTTTAGGTCATGGGAAATCGATAAAGCGAAAGAAAGATGATGGTAGATTGATGGGTCCCACTCGATTATACCGATAACAATCTTTCTCAAAAGAATCAGAAGCAAAAGAATGGCTTCTTCTACATTGTTCTTGGGTACATATGAACTTTCCATCTGGGATCGAAGATTTGGAGGTGTCGCGTCACAACCACTGTACAAAAGAAACACAGCGAATTCCTTTTCAAGATTCATTCGTGTCTTTTTATCAAGATTCCATTGGAAAAGCAACGCTCGTCTGTATGATAAAATGGCCGATTGTGGATCTGAAGCTAGTTTCCAAAGCTCAGGTAACAACTCAACCGCTTTATCTACAGTTTCTTGAAGCTTATAATATGAAGAAAAATCAAGAAATCCATCGGGTAATGCAGATTCGATTGTTTCCAGTATGATTTTGCACGATTCGGCAGCTTCTCGGAATCGTCCTAGGGCTTGCAACGACTTTGATTTGAGAAAAACAGCTTCGAAGAGTAAACTGATAGCATGAACTGACATGGATGGCGATGGATCATCATCACCTTGAGAATGGCGTCTTGAAAGTTCTGATCTTCTTGCAAGTGAGTTTTTGATCTTGGGAATCACAGCAGGAATGTCGATTCCTTCGAAAACATGAAGTGCACCCTCTACGTTTCCTTTTTGATACTCTAATCGACCTAATAACGCTCTTGCTTCCTAAAAAGTTGCAAAATTGTATGTGTTAATTATGTAAGAAGATTAAAAATGGAATTGAAATGCAGAATAAAACCTCGTAATTGAGAAAACCACTTTCACGAAGAGAGGATTCTGCTTCTTCTATATTGCTGTTATCCAATTTGGGATCAGGTTCATTAACTCGAGAAGAATATCCACTAGCCGAATAATCCCTAGTCGCTAAAGATTCCGATGAAGCATTCATTTCCTTTGCCCCAAATCGTTCGCCGGAGTGAAAGCATTTCATCATCATCTTCCGTACAGTTCCACTCAACTTGATTCTGTGTTTTTCAATCCAGTGTTTGATTTTCATTCTGCTGCTTCATTACATCTGAAATCTTTTTGAAGGTACAAATTACGGTTTTAAGTTAGAAACTGATACATATCAATTATTGCGCAGTGTGCATCATGTGAACAGGAGCCTATGAAACACCAAATCGACATTTAAAAAAGAAAACCCACAAATCTACAGGCGTATACAGAACATATATTCATCCCCCTTTTACGAAATTCAACTTTTCTTATCGGATTGATACAGCGTACAATCAGCAATTTAAAGTTCCGAAAAGATGGAACAAAATCCACGTATACCCGACAGCAGATTGCGAAAAGCAAACATGAAATTGAGGAGAAAGAAGGTGGAAGAGGAAGAAAGTTAGTAAATGAACAGTGAAATCGAAGAAAAAGGGTACCTTTTGAATAGCGAAAAGAAGCGAAAGAGCCCACAAAGCACTACTACTACTACCCATTTGACGTGAATCAATCATCGAAATAAAATAAGGATGGGTAGATTGTTATGTCATCTCGTATAGAAGAATCCGAGGCTTGTTTGTGCTTCAAATTAAGAAAGATCCAAAAGAAAAAAAAAAAATTCTTTGGTTGTTGATGATGGCAATGAGTAATGAGTGTATTGGGTATGGGACAAGAGAGTGATGGATTTCAAAGTGGGAAGGTCAGAAATGCTTGGCGCATTGAATATGAATATGATTAGAACCATACCAAGTCTAATCAGATGTGAATGGAGGGAAGACTTTTTTGGTTAACTTTTTTGAATAAGCTCTTTCTCCAATGTCATTAGCCTTTTAAATAATAATATTCTTACAGTTGGAATTGTTGCTAGCTATGATTTTACAAGGTGATGACATCATTGCTACAATTTCTTACTAGATGCTAACTAGGGGTTGAATCGCTGTGTTGTTTTGTAACAGGAGATTGAAAATAAATAAATAAAAGGTAATTAAGTTGAAAAATAAATAAAAAATAATATATATATATATATATATATATATATATATATATATAGAATCAAATATTAATCACAAGTATTACATGAATGTGTAATTAGATTAAAACAAAATAATTGGTTATGATATTAGGTGCATGATATTAAAATGGGATTGTAATCACCGTATAATTACACTTAATCTTTACTATTCTATAAAACATATTGGGTATTTCTTGAATTTTAAGAGGTACCATACTTTAAGCAAAATGTACAAACATCTTATGGTCCAAAGAAAATTAACGCATACTGTATCTCTTGTTTTCCTTACATCTTGCCCAAATTAGATCCTAGATAGACGCTCTCTCGCTTTGCCATTCTCTCACTCCCTTTTTCTCTACAAACCTTATTTCAACACGACCACCACCCGTTATCGCCGCCGACACCAACCATTCACCACCACACGAAACCTTCACAACCACTATCATCACCGCAGAAGACCGCCACAGCAACTAGGAATCACCGAGGCAATGAAGAATCATAGCAGCATAAATGATCTACGATGTTAGGCGATTTCAATCAATGGTTTGTCTCTTCTCTTTGCTCATGCGGTTTTCTAATAACACTATGTCACAATCAATGTACTTTACTATTTTTTATGATCAATTTTGGTTTTCTTTTTTAGGGATATAACTTTTAGTCTGTTCAAGAGACTCAAGTTTCACTAAACATGATGTCGTTTTATCTTGCTCTTGGTAACGTCAACTGTTTCTGTAAGTTTCACCTTTGTATCGTGGACTGTAATTTCACTTACTCAAACCAATTTCTTATTTTTCATCCATTAAATATGTATATATTTCATTAAAATGGTAGGATTTTTTAGTAAATTGCAGTTTCAGATGCCCACACTTCGTAGTATCGACAATTTTTATTTTCTTACTTCCGAGGTAGATTTTTTCCTCATTAACCTTCATGAATGTTTCAATTTCGAGTTTAGGGTTGCTTTTATTAATGTTTTAGTTACGGCTTTTTCCCCTAAAATTTATAGCAGTATGAACTTTAATGTTTTAGTTACGGCTTTCTCCCCTAAAATTTATAGCAGTATGAACTTTGAAGAAGAATCATATTTTGGTTTTATTTGCTCCTTAAGAAATTGATTTGTTACTTCCAAAAAGCCAAATTTTATGGAAGATGAAGATGGGGTTGCTGGTTTTTTTTTGAGTTTTTTTGGTAGAAACATTAATATCTAAAGTATAGGGGAGATGTACCCCTTTTCTCTTACCGCAAGTTCTGTTACATTTATATTTTGTTGAAATTCATTGAAACATAGTCAAACATGTAAGATTTGTCTCTATTTTGCTTGCCTCCAGTTCTATTATATTTATGTTTTGTTTGAATCCGTTAAAACCACTGCTTGTTCTTAGGTTTTAATGCAATGCCTCTCGGGTTATGCAACAAATATTTATAAAAAAATGATTAATTGATTTCTTGGTAATTGTAGGCTATTTGTTCTCTTATCATGGATTCAATTGATTTTTTGATTCTATTATTTGTATCTTGCAGTGTTTTATAGGAGTAGATTTCCATGGTTAAGCACTCCATGGGTTAAGCTCTATGGACTCAAAAGTACAGTTAAAACATGTGTCAGTTTTAATGTTGTAAGTTTAATGGGAATCAATAAGAACTTTCAATATGCTAATATTATTTGAAGGTTTTGCTTATGGTTGTTTTATCTGTTTTGGATCTTCTATATAATATTGTTGGTTAAATATTTTAAATAGATAATTCCTCGGTTTCTTGACCGGAAGTTAAGAAAATAATTAGAATTTATCAAAGATAAATGAGGTGGTTAGTTTATTGCATAACTAAAACTTTTAGTAAACACATTAAAATGGTATTACTTGTGTTCCGACTCCCTTATTGGATTGATAAAATATAGTACATATTAATAATTGTATTAGTCACATTGCATTTATTGTTTGTAATTAAAGTATTTCATCAATTATTTACCATTTTAGATATGTTAAATTCCATTTGTATTCGAATGCAAGAGAATGTTTTAATTTATTCAATTCTCATTGTTTATATACAATGGTGGGTTTTAATTTCCTTGTGTTTGTTGATAACTCTCTGACTATAAATCTTCTTTGATTTGCTTGTGTGATGTCCGATTGTTCTATTGTTGGGTTACTTGTTGTTTTGACAGACACTAATCTCGGGTTTTAATTTCATCAATTATTTATCATTTCTATAGCGATATTTTAGTAATATAATAATACATTAAACGCTTACAAAAAAAAAGGTTGTACAGATCCAGTAATTCCTTTGGTGGGTCTGTGCTATCTTTATCTTACTCAACAACTGGATTCATATACCCTTTAAGGGGAAGGTGGAACTTTTTAATAGCATAAACCAATATAGAAATTGGAAAATTAACAGAAAAAAGGGATTAAATATATATATATATATATATATATATATATATATATATATATATATATATATATATATATATATATATATATATATATATATATACTTTTTTACATTTAGAAAAAAACAACTAGAAAAACAAATTAAATTACACTACCCTTCATGGCTTAATGAATATTTCATTTCATTAACACCATACCTACTCAAGACACCATTTCCAGTTAAATTCTTACAATATATATATATATTTGCGTCCCTGCATTGCGCAGGTACCGGAAGAAAGATATTCAGGAAGAAAGATATGTAGTTGATCATGGAAGAAGACCTGGAGCTACTAAAAGTCATCAAAAACGGTTACAATGTGAAGGTAGTTGACCTTTCTGTAATTTGTTGGATTATTATTCCATTATATGGTCAAACATGATCTTTTAAATTGATCAGTTTGTTTGCTATTATCATTTAACTTACAGTTTTCAACAAATTAATTTTATAAATTTACTTTTTTTTTACATCAAAAGGCAAGTGTGTTGCATTAAATGATGGAATATTATTTGGTATTTTGTAGCATTGGAGGTTCATCTATGCTTTTAAAGGCTCCATGTTGATTATAAATGATGTTGAAATGCAGGGTAATGTTATAGGGTAAAATAGATCCAAGATAGGGGAAAAACAAAAAAAATCATATCTTCCACCCCTACCTTTTTTGGGCATCTTTCTCCCTCTTTTAAGTTGTATTTATTTTGTTCCTCATCTCTGTTTCTTGTCTAAATTTCATCCCCTATCCAATTGATTCCATCGTCTAATGATACTATTTTTATATCTCTTTCTATTGACATGTTATTGAGATTAAAAGTTGAAATCTCAGTATACCACCATCAATTCAAGTTCTTGGGCTATTTTGAAATCCACTTCCATTAGAATTGGAAACACTTAAAAGTCTTTGATCGATGCTCTTCAGTCTTTGACAATGCATTCCCTTAATGTTATGGATGCTTTACAACTTATGAATGGTGAGAAGATGATCAAACAATTATTTTTTTAAAACAATTGTAAATAAGGCGAGTTGTATTAGTTTTAATTGGATAATTACATATAATGACAATTAAGGTTAGGTGGCAAAAAATAGCAACATACTATTATATATTTGTGGTTCAGTTATTTATTTCACAACTCTTTATAAAATGGGATAATTAGAACTCATGTTTGGGATGCATCCACTGGTGAAGGGTTATTATAGAACACCAAGGATGTGCTTGGTTTGTTGACTTTTTAAGTATTTATATGTGAACCCCATACATTTTGCCAGTGGACACGATGCTTGTTTGGTGAAGTTATAGTGGTCTAACAATCTGATTTTCTCTCAAGACTAACTTTTTGTTCCATTACACTTAATTATAGCATTCAACTATGTCAAATGTGATTTCCGATTGAAAATGGATTGGCTTATTTACTTGTGAATGTGTGACACAAAATAATTTTTTTCTTCGGTTGTCACACCAAAAACCTTCCCAAAAAGTTATGATTTTTATGAAAATGAAACAACAATGGGAAAGTATATCCTTTGGTGAGTAAAAGTTAACAAAAGCAAGAAAAAAGGA